CATATAAACCTTATATCAATCATAATAATAAGGATAACCCCTCTTAACTTAGATTATAGCTTTGATCTTCTTCTTTGTGTTCTACCAAAAATCCCTTTGTTTTCTTCATGCCCTAGTCTGTTGCATTCCTCCAACTCTTTTCATGATCGTAATCATTGATACATTTCCCCTCTATTCCTTGTTTAACCCTTGGACCCTTTCTATGGTCTTTCCATATTTTTCTCACTAATCTACATAACATTACAATTTTTCCCTTTTCACCCACTAAATCACATCACACATCATATTCATCAAAACATCACATAAACTCACAAATACATAACAATTACTCATTATAATACAATTCAATAATTAAATAAATTATCTAATTATTTTGGGGTGTTACAGTTATTATTGCTGAAGGTCATTAATTTGATTGCTACTATCATTTTCCCTCATATATCAAAGTGTTGATTTGAATTGAACCTTGTCATTTTCACAACAATGGAAAAACTCAATTTACCTTGAAATCACTATAATCAGACAATTATATAATATTTTACACGGTAGAAGTTGCAGTGACAAGACACAAAGCGAGAATAGCACACAAGAATTGAAGTAAATAAGAAAAATTAAAATTTCTTCTAATTGTTGAACAATCAAATGGATCTTGGCAGAATCGACAATGGAATCAATGTAATAAACATCTATGAATATCGTGTCATGGTCGTAGCGTGTTTTGTGAAATCACTTAGTCTTCTAAGTTATATTAACGAATGATTGTGGAACAATGTCGCAATTAAAAACCTAGTGCAAATACTAAATTAAGGGAAAATGATAAGAGTTGTAAATTTAAGTGTAAGAGCAACATAAGTGACAATCTCAATTTACTCTTCATCTCTAGTACCACTAGTAGGAATCTCAATATTAACCTAAGTCTTCTACGCCATAGTTTTTATTACTTTTAACTCTAAGTCTTTGCACTTTATCCACATGCGACTCTCATCGAAAGTAACATCCTTGTTTTTGATAAATTTTGATCCTCCGAGTTCCATATTCCACATCTTGTATCCCTTCATACTTTTGGGATATCCAACGAAGACACATTTCACAACCTTAGCATCAAGTTTGTCTTTCTTGATATGCGAAAACATCAAAGCTTTGAAGACCTTCAAATTATATTATTTTACTTGTTTCTCATTCAAACCTCCTTAGGTGTATTGAAGTCTATTATCGTGGATGGATATTTTTTGATTAGGTAAGTCGTTGTAGCAATAGCCTCATCCTAAAAACATTTTGGTAACCTAGCTCCCAACAACGTGCACCTCACCCTCTCCAAAATGGTCATATTTATTCATTCAGTTAGGCCATTTTATTGAGATGTGTTAGCAATGGTTATATGACCATTGATACCTTATTCTCTACCAAACTCATTAAACATCTCTAAAACAAATTCCAAATTATTGTTAGTTCTTAGCATATTCAATTAAGTTCCTAACTTATTTTCTATAAGAGTTGTCATTACTTAAACTTTTCAAAGGTGTCACTTTTTATTTTTAAAAATATAGACTCACATTCTTTTTAAAAAAATCATTGATAATAGTGAGAAAATAGAAATCACCTCCATGAGTTTTCACCCTTATCGGACCTAATGGATTCTAGTGAATATACTTAAACACTTTACTAGAATTATGAACGTCACTCCTAAACTTCACCTTGTATTGTTTTCTTAGTATGCAGTTATAACAAATTTCTAATTTGTTTAATTTATCACTTCCTAACAAATATTGTTTAGTTAGTTCAACCAAAACTCTTTGACTAACATGCCCTAAACACACATATCATATCTCAGTTTTGTCATGAAAGTATTGACTAACTAATGATGTATATTAAATAACAATTGATACAATATATATATGTAACCCACATATTTTAGATCATTTAGTCATAATTGATGCAACATACAGAAGTTTTAACACTCTACGTTCTTTTTTAGTGCAATAGCCTAAATTATCGAACATATTTATAGACAAAAAATTCACTTAAGCTCAGAAACATATCTCACATTGAGTAGAAAAAACTCACAATTATCAAATATTTTAAGTCTAATAATACAAATATCATGAACTTTATACGCCTTATTGTTATTGAGTCAACAACTCCTCTTTCTTTTAGGTCAAAGTTTCAAAATATTATTTTTCTTGAGCACATATGATAAAAGCATTTGTTGTCTATGACCTAATCTTTTCTATCTCCAAACTTGTCACCAATAGCGCATTAACACTCTCATAACCATCTTCATATGAGGAAGCCACAATCTGAGTAAAATCACTCTTGCCCCCCTTCCCCCTTTTGGGATAATCCTACTTGAAATGACTAATTTTATGAAAAGTGTATCATTTTGACTTTAACTCATCAAAACCCTTGGATTTGGACATTGACTTAAATTTCTCACCCTTTTAGTTTCCCCTAATATCATTATTTCCTTTTGAAACACTCAAACATTTACCACTTTAGCCAATCTTCAATTCTTTCATCTTGGTTAACTCATTAATTCTTATAGTCAATTGGACCTCCTTCGAGGTGATAGTTTCTTCGTTACCATGAAGAAGGATCTTTGAAATACTCTAAATATCAAGTTAATAAGCTCTACAAGAGTAGAACCTCACCCTCATCATCAAGCTTCATCTCAATATTTTGCCACTCATCAATGATCTTGCGAAATTATGTTAATTACTCCACAATTGATTTGGTTTCCACCATTTGAAATGACTATAGTTATTGTTTCAAACATAACTCGTTAGTCATCGACTTGGTCATATATAATAGTTAAAGCTTGACCCACATCTTTGTTGTAATCTTCACCTTATCAACTTTCCTTAGTATTTTATCTTTGAGGCACAAGATAATGATACTTCCTGTTTATTTTAGACCTGCATGCAACAATGTCTCGTCTTTTAATGCTTCTACACACGTAAGCATGACAACTTGGCGAGTCAAAGACAACTTTTACCTCCCCCAAACTCAAACCCGAATCCCTAAACAATCAATATTCCCCCGCTCCAAACCCCAACAATGATGAATAATTAAAACTCAAACTCGTACCAAACGAGTTCGAGTTGGGTTCGGATATCCCTGCCCTGACACCATCCATTTAGTGAAATCAATTTTTTTAAATAGAATTTTTTTTTTCAAAATCAAATTACATTACAAATAATACAATAACATCATCTCAAAAATTTTCATACATACGTTTAAAAATTTTAAATAATAAATAAATATCAAAATATCAAAATATTGACTACATGTTTAATATTCTGAATTATCAAAACTAAATAATAAAACAAATAATGAATAAACAAGGTGAGTTCGGAGTTAGTACTAGTATCCTTATTATCCGACTCGTCTCCATATTTTATAATCGAAAAAATCCAAACCCGAATCCAAACTCAACCAAAACAGGATTTCCTCGTCAAATTCAGGACGGATACGGATTATGTTGCCATACCCATACACACTTTTGATGAAATAAGAATGTTTGCATTCTTCACTCCCCCCATCCAAAATAGTTGCCTAAAGAAAACTTCTATATATTCAATTTAGAAGATATGGTGCACTCTTGTAAACTTAACTTTTTGGCCACTACAGTGGACACCACTTGTTAAAAGATTCAAGAGTATGGAGGTGTAGGGTAACTTCAAGCTATTATTTATTGGCCAAACAGTGTAAACAATGCCACAAGAAGAAAATAAAATACGAGAGTACACATTTATTTATCCAATTCGATCAAATTGATCTACTCTGCTGGAGATAGCAAGTCTCTAATCCACTATAATGCAAGAGTTATTACAAGGTGAGTTACAAAAATATAGTCTTCTAAATTCTTAAAAACATTTCATATTTTTCTACCCAAGTGTTTCTCAATCTCTTATTTACTTAATGTCAATTACACAAATCCACGGTGTTTAGTATTTTTTTTAAATCTTCTTAGACACCTCAAAAGTCTTCAAAATCTTAGAATAATGAATCTTAAGAAAGGATTGAAAAACATCTTATATAAGTTTAGGCAAAACACACCACCTTCCCCTAAAATGCACTAAATTTCGACAAAAACAGCAGGAAGCACTGTCTCCACCAGACACACTACATTTCTGCAAATGCATTGCATCCTTGCGACCATTTTTTGAAAAATTTGAAGTCAACACTACACATTAAAAACATGCAAACTTTCCAGTTTTTTTCTACGTGAATGTTGGCCAATGAAAATTTGATAATATTGTCTTTTGTTCCTGATGATGTCTACCAAATTATTGATAGCCTAATTCTCTTAATATTAATAACTCTGCATATATCTCTAGTTAGAAGAACTCTTCTGATGGTCAATACTCTATTACAACTGTCTATAACTTACTGAGTGTTAAGCCCTCTGACCATGATCTCAATCCTTTATTTTTTTAAAATGGAGTTGGAAAGGTCCTAATGACAAATGAGGAAAGTTTCGAAATAAAGATGACTATGGATCCTAATTGTCCTAGAAGCTAAAATCAAATTGAGTCTATTATGCACACTCTGAGAGATTGTGTAGTTGCTATGGATTTCTGGAATAAAATTACTAACAATATTGGAACAAATTCTCCAATCTTGGTATGGAAGCTTGACTTAAGTTGGACATTAACTCCAATGAATCTTAGGTAATAACTTTTGATGACTCTTGGTCATAAGCTATAGAGCATGGTTAAGTTCATAAGCATAAAAAATCGACTTAAAGAGTAGACAGCAATGTCAGGCACGCATACATGACAGAATACATGAATTAAGCAGAAATCAAATGAGCTACATTCAAATATTGTACCAACATCTTCGAAGTTAGTTCAAGAAGACAAAAACAATTGATATTTTAACAACAAGATGACAAATAAATTCAAGAGAGAGTGCAACATTTGATCAAAGTATTGCCATTGCACTGGACGACATACTCACAACACAGACGATCTTCTCCAAACATATTGTTGGCATCCCCTTCAAACTTGTAAGCCAATAGAAAGAACAGCTTCTGGAGATATACCTAAAGTAAACAGCAGATGCAATGAGAAAAAGAAAGAACCCAAAAGTAAATACTAAGAGATTCAAAGGGGAGGCGTGTAAGTTCTCACCATCAGCTTCATTGGCATCGGCTTCAACTGGCTGCTTGGGATACTTACCACCTTTACGTTTCGTTTGTAAACCAGCTCGAAATAAAAGACTATCCACAGTCTCTGAAGGTTGAGCACCAACAGATAGCCAGTACCTAAAGAGATTGAGGAAAAGTTATCCTATTAAAAGTGCGGCCGAGAGTTCCATCATAAAATTCACAAAGATGGATCAAAGTTACTTACTTCACTCTTTCAAGTTTGATACTCACTCTTTTCTCATCATCTTTGGCTGTACAGAAGAAGTAAATCAAATTAGAAAAGGATTTCATGTGTATCAACTAAAACCATCCTCCTCTTTACTCCCTAACTGGTATATTACAAACGAACCCACATAACCCACGGTCTAAACGGTCAGACTCGCACATGCCAAAATTAAAATGGGCTAAAAAAATGGTCCAAAACCCATGTAGGCCACAGGTTAAACGGGTTGGTTCGCAGACCTTGGTTCATATACCCAGCTCTAAACACCTACGAAGCACGGACACGGGAAACACGACCCTGATACATTAACACCGACAATAATTTTAAAAAACGAATAAGTTAAACGTAACCACAAACGAAACACCACTAACCAGAGATACTACCAAGGATTGAAAACCAAACATGTGTGTTTCCTTAGGGCTATTTTAACATTCACAACACTAATTCTATCTCCTTTAAAAAAATTCCTACTTACCTAATGTCAAAAGGAACAAGAAAACAAAAACATAGTATGAATAAGAACATAATAGAGAGAATTATAGATTGAATGTTAACCTGCAACAGGATTGTAGTAACCTACAACCTCAATGTTCTTGCCATCTCTTGCACATCTGCTATCAGTAACAACAACCCTATAGAAAGGGTTGTGTTTGCAACCAATTCTGGCCAATCGAATAGTCACCACCATTTTCACCTAATAATATCATAATTCAACAACAGGAAACTCAAAATTTGAAAGAACAACACAATAAATCGTGTTTTTGGGTTTAAACCGTTTTGCTCTTGCTGTGTAGTGGAGAGTTCAACATTATAAAGAAAGAAATTGAAAAAAAATCAGAGAAGGGAAAGAGAAAAACCAAACAAACCTGTCTTCCAAAGGTAGTTTTCTTGTAGAATGGTTCGCTGCTCTCTATCCCTTTATGCGTGCGTGCGTTGTTACCGTTCCCTCTCAATCTTCTTATCTTATACCGTGTTTTCTCTTATCTCTCTCTCTCTTTTAAATACTAAATTTTAATGTTATTTTGTTCTATTTTATTTGAAATAATGTTTTAATATCGAGAGAAAAAAATATGCATGGACATGTAAAGTAATTTTTACATTGTCAATCAAACTATTATTATTCTCTTAAATCATTTTTGATATTTTAAAGTTAATTGTGTGATATGATTCATTTGTAAACTATTTTTATTCTCTTTAATATCAATAATAATAATTAGATTTAAAATTCTTTTAATTATGCCGATTTACAAATTTGTTATTTATCTAGTTTGTAGTCAAAAGTTAATAGCTACATTAGTGGAAAATCAATAGGAGATTTGTTATCTTGATTTGTTCCAAATTAGGTTTATCAAACCTGTATATATATACTACTGTAAATTAATGAAATCATTCACTTTTCTATATGGTATCAGTTGGAAACGATTCAGCCCTATCATTCTAATTCAGAACGCCGTTTCTCATTCCTGCTGTCAACCTCGTCTTCCATGGCCTCCGACAGTTCCCACTACATCACCAACCCCTATGAGCCATCCAAACCCTTTGTGTGCATCACTCTTAGCAGTGTCACCAAGCTGCTTCCCACCAATTTTCTATATTTAATCTATTTATTTTTAAATTCGTTTTTATCTAAAAAGTAGTTATTTTAACTTAATTTTAAATTTAAAAAGAAAATTAAATGATCACTTTTGAAATAAAAAGTTAAAGTTTTTAAATTAAAATTTTATTTTTTTGGAATAAATTTTAAATTCTCTTTCAAATTCGAAAGTATATTTTTCGGATGCACTCAAACCTTAGAAAATTCCAAAAATGTATTTTTGAAAATTGTTAGAGTTCATAAAACTAAAAATAGATACAGAAAATGTAACATAAATTAACATCAATCATTATTATAATATACATTAAAAACGAAACATCACATCAATATATTTCATAATCAAATAGGACGTTTCAACATCTTCAAAATATCTTCAATTGAACTCGCAATCTTCGCATACACTTCGATCAAACTTTTTATTTCATAAAAGTAAAATATACTCCACATAACAGTTAAATCTTCATTCGTATTCAACTCAAACTTGTTAAATCGTATCTTCTCGTCGTTATCGGTCAAGGGTGAACGATAATAGAGTTTCACAATTCTTAGATTGTCTAGATATAGATTCTCTAGTATTGATTTTAGATCGACAATATGAGTGATCTATGTGAACCTAAATTGAAGAGGGGGTTTCTCGCAGTTGAAGTAGAGAAAAGTGAGATATGCATATTGAGACATTTTGTGTGAGTTGTGAGTGTTTATGCTAACAACTAGAATGACACCCATATTTATACAAGTTTTAGATTAATATGGATCTTAGAAATCCAATCTTGACTCAAAGGGTATTCTAGAGATGTACTTTCGGATACACCTTATTTCATTTATTAAAATTAGGGTGAATTCATAAATGTATATCCGAAAAAATATCCGATATCATTTTTTAATAATATGGAGTTAATCTAGAAATGTGTTTCCGAATAAACTCATGTTAGCATTTTATTTATTAAATTAGGGTAATGTTCGAAAATGTATTTTCAGATTCACTCTTAACTACTCATAGAACACCCATTATAGAAACATAACATGTTATGAAGCACAAAAATATTGAAAATTTTAGGAAACTTGAAATCCAGGTATACAAATATAAGATGTTGAACAAGATGTCACGACACTAATATCAGATCACTCGTACACCACCAAATAATTATTCAAATAAAGTAAACTACTGAAGGTAAATAACACAAATAATTGTTAACCTGGTTCGGTGCAACATCACCTACATCTGGAGAAAACCAAGTCAGAAAAAAAATTCACTATAATAGTATTGATTTGAAGCCTAAGTAAATAACCTCTGGTTTACTATCTTCTCACCTAATCACTACCCATGCTATTTCTATCTAAGACACTCCTAGATATGAGACATCTCTCACTTCCCTTCAATCATACAACATTGATAACAACTTTAATCAAGTACGAAAGACACACTTCCAATGACACACAATCTACTTTTGCTTAAAATCTTATGAGTGATTTACAATTACAACTCAAACAAAGATCAATTCAAGCATCCAAGAGATACATGAATGAATCACAATAAACATAGTCCAACTCTACTATAGAGTGGATCACAAAAAATAAAGAACAAACTAAACCCTAAAAAATACTCTCCACATGCACAACTTAGTTAATGAATAAGGTTTAGAACCATCCTTTATATAGTTGTTCTTGCTAAACACCAAATATGAGACTTCGTTGCTGCTCGGAGGATGACAGGGAGAGCCTTAAACAAGTGAGAGGATGTTGTTTATGATATTGAGGGATTCAGAGGCTTACACGAGTGTGCGTAAGCTCTAAGCGATGTGTCTTGCTTACCCCTCAGTCGGGATCCCTATATATAGATGTGCATGAACCTCATTGGTTACTGCATGTAACTGTTATGGCTTTCCATATTACATAACTGAGTTGCCTTAAAGGCAAATAACGTCTGCCGTCACCAATGATGGTTATCATCATAACATGCTATGTTGTATAATGATGAGGGATTACGCCCTCAATGGACCTGGCATTGCGTATCGGCTCCATTAAGGTCTGGCTTAGAGTAACCTCTAGATCCAGGGTATGAGCCCGGCTTCCGCCTCTTCATCTTCTTCCATGTCCAATTGCATGACCCTTCGATCACACAACCCAATTTAGGCCTTATGATCTCGACCCGGGGTGGTAACCGGTTGATTGTCTACTTTCCTTTCTCGGTCTTTCAACCATGCCTTGACTTTTATCTCTTCTAGCCCGAGCAATAAATCTACGTATGAACATAAGCCCCACGAGCATATGGCTTTTACCTGAAGCCTTGTAGTTGGTCAAATTGTAAATGGATCTATGCTCCGGGATGGACCTCTAAGATCGGACGATGATATCGCGACGTGCATGTTACTCACGCCCTAGTTTCTCAACAGTCCCCTAGTCCCCTAGGCGTAATTATTGCAAAGGAAAATTTTGAATGTTTATACACGATTCCTCTTCTTTAAGCGTTTTATTCTCCATAACTTTTCTTTTATAAAAACCTTTCATTTTCTATTTCTGAAAGACTCTCTTACTTCCCTTTGCAAGCGCTCTCATCCGTTTCCAAAAAATCTCTCAATTGACCATTGTTACAAGGTATTTCTTCTCTTCATTTACCTTATTCTTTGTACATTTTTATTTTTTAGGGATGGTTATCATCAGAGAGTGTGATGGTTTTGGAAATAAAAGACATAACAATAATGAGGAGTGGAGAGTCGTATGAGAGGAGTGCATGTAAGATATGAGAGTTGCTTTAGGTGTAGATGAGTATGCACGAGTCATGAATAAAGTTTACAGTGAAGTTTTTACTTCTGAAAGTGGTTTTGACCCTGATTCTTCAGGTTTCGTGGAGGTCCTGATGGAAACTTCCAGCTCTTTTAGTGAGGAGGACGATGTGGTCCTAGGGGCTTGTATCCATGGGGAACGGGTTTGTATGTCCCGACCAAATGGAGTACAAAACCAGTGGTTTTATTTCTATATCGGTGTTGGAAGATATGTTTATCCGCATCCCTTTCACTGATTTTGAAGTGGATATATTGAAGATGGTGAATGTAACCCCCTCTCAACTTCTCCCTAATAGTTGGGGTTTTATCAAAGCTTTTGAGATGATCTATGAAGCATTGGATATGACTCCGACTATTAGTTTATTTTTTTCTTATTTTGAAGTCAAGAATGTAGAATCTGGGAGCTGGGTTGCCATTAGTGGCGTACCTCACAGGAGCTTCCTTCAAGCCTTTACCATTAATCACAAGGATTTCAAGGACCGGTTCCTTCGGGTTAGGTGTGAACTGAGGTGTCCTCGGGTTGTCTATGCCACCGATGGTCATCCCAAGTTCCCTTTGTACTGGACGGGGAGTCCTTTAGCCATATTTGGGTTCGATTATGATAAGTTGAGTGATGTTGAGACTCAATCTCTGCAAGTGTTAGACTTATTTCGTCCGTTCAAGGTCAAGGACTTGTTACCCTTGCCTGATAAAGAGGTTTCGAACTTTCTGGGTAAGATTCATTTTAATTCTCCTCCGCCTAAGGGTTTTCTTACTCCTTTATTACATACTCTTTTTTTATGTTTTTTGTATATAAGATGATTGATCTCTCTGTTAAAGAGCAAAAGAAGTTGATGGCTGCTGCCCATGTTGCCCATAGAGGGGTTGGAGGGCCTTCTGAGTCCAAATCCGACTTGAATGGTTTAGAACTCCGAGTAGCGAAGAAAAAGAAAGGACCCGGCTAGAAGGTGGACATTATCATCAGCGTGCCTCAATAACCGTCTAAGCATGTCCTGCAGAAGATCAAAGTTCTGCGAACAGATGGAGGTGGCGAATACACATCTAAGATGTTTGAAGATTTCTATACAGAACATGGTGTTGATCACGAGGTAACTGCTTCTTATACACCTCAACATAATGGAATTGTTGAAAGAAGAAACAGAACCATATTAGATATAGCGAGATGCATGCTGAAGTAAAAGAATTTTCAAAGTCTTTATAGGGAGAAGTTGTTTCGACTTCAATTTATATTTTGAATAGGTGTCCTACTAAGATATTGAAGAACAAGGTTCCTGAAGAAGTTTGGAGTGGAAAACGACCATCAGTAAGTCATTTGAAGGTGTTTGGCTCTATGTGTTACAAGCATGTTCCTAATGCAAGGAGAAGGAAGCTTGATGACAAGAGTGAATCTATGATTCTGGTAGGATATCATAAAACTGGTGCATACAGACTATTCAATCTAGTTAATGAGAAGATTGTGTTGAGTCGAGATATTGTGATTAATGAAACTTCTTTCTGGGATTGGAATTCTAGCAATTCAATTAACAAGCCATTAATGAACTTTGATTTTGATGAAGAAACTAATGAAGTAGAGGTCGAAAGAATTGTTGAGAATCCAGTCGAAGGAATTGTTGAGAATCCAGTCGAAGTCGAAGAAGAAGCAGTTGCTGACACTCCCAACACAGTCGAAGTCGAAGAGGTTGTGGCTGAAATAAGCCAAAGACCTCAAAGAAATAGAGTTCTTCCAACAAGACTTCATGATTATGAAGTGGTGGGTGATGATGAAATCACACCAGATGGAGAATTAGTTCATTTTGATTTACTTGCAGGTGCTGAACTAATCAACTATAGCGAAGCTTTGAAGAATAACAAGTGGAAGTTAGCTATGGTCGAAGAGTTACAGGCAATCGAAAGAAACAACACATGGGAGTTAGTCTAATTTCCAACACATACAAAAGCTATCAAAGTAAAATGGGTGTTCAAGTTGAAACACAATGCAGATGGGTCAATAGCAAGACATAAAGCAAGATTAGCAGCTTGAGGTTTTCTTCAAAGAGCAGGACTCAACTACTCTGAAGTATTTGTTCCAGCAGCAAGATTAGAGACCGTTCGACTAGTGGTAGCATTGAC